ATAAACGTATATTTTTCGGAAATTTACCTTGCTTTTAGTATTCGTTGAGATTATTCCACCGGAGGCGGGCCGCAAAAAAGATGGCAAATAAAAAAAACCTTTCGAGCTGCGTATATGTAATTAATTACACGCACGTGTATGGTCGTACACGCGTGACGTATCAATACTCGCAAGCAACGTACAATACTTTTTTGCCATCTCGATTAGGTAACCAACTAATGAGCGATGAGAATGGAAATTGGTTGGAAACTCCGTGGAGCTCGTAAGACGCGCCCACTTCAACCCCGCGCGTAATACATGCACATCTAAAAGTCGCTCCTCGCGCTTTTCATTAACGGGAAAAGGCGCCAAGTGGAATATACGCACCATATTATCGCCCAAGCCGATGGGGCTCGATGCAAGGGAGAAGGGGATAAGAGAAAAGCGCGATACCTCTTTCGAAGCAAAAGAAAGAAAGAGAGAGAGGAGGAGGAGAAGGTGCTCTTTCTCCTCACCCTTTCTTATCCGCGGGACACTTAGTAGCACTTACTCTTATCTTAATGACCGAGCGGGCGGGCGGCTGATGCGCCAGAGAGACTCCGGAATATGAGGACACGGATTGGGCTATAGAGGGGGGGGGGATGCAGTGTCGAGTTCGTGATGCTGCGGCTGCAAGGACCTGCACTCTGGCGCATATACACTCACGTCCTTTCGTTTATACAATGGCTTGTGGCCCTCGCTTTCCTCCTTTTAAAATTAGCGCATCACCCTGCTCGTTCATCCCCGTTTGTTTGCATCACGCGAGCAATATCACCAGTTTTTATTTATTTTTTTTATTTTTTTTTTTTACTATATATTTTGAGTAGGTGTGTTTGATAAAAATTGGAAAGAACGCGAGAAAGTAACACGATTGTTCTCCATTGTATGTATAATCTACAATTTTTAAGACGACCAACCGTACACTTTTTACGAAATGAAACTTGAAGTAAGGGAAAAAAGGAGCAAAGTTTAAGAGACGTTGTTATTTTTCGAGACGAAATATTATGACTATTTAATGTAATCGAGAGGAGGAAAGGGGAAAAAGATGTCTCAGTTATCTAGTTGCAGCGCGGAAAATACCAACTGTACTTTCCTATTATTGTCTACGCAAAAAAATTTGTTGTTAAAAATGTTGTCAACTTGCTGGATATGCTGTATATCGATATTTAATATTGTTTCCTCGATGCGCGTCAGTGGATGGAACAAATTGTTTGGATCTTGAATTTTTTATTTATTGTTTATAAAATTGTGAAAACAACTCACTTTCTATCCAAGTCAGTGTGCTTAACCATGTAAACTTATAAAATTGTATAACCATGTTGTATGTCGATGGCACATCGATCTAGTTGAATGGACCACTCATGTGCGAAAAAAAGGGTTCAGCGGAGCCGGACAAAGCTGCCTTCCTTTTAGCTATCTTCTCGCAAAGATTGCATACGTTATACACTATACGAGTTGTTGCTTTATCGATAATGCGTTCGTTTTCCTTTTTTTTTTTTTTTTTTTTTTTTTTTTTTTTTTTTTTTTTTTTTT